ATTCTAACTGGGGTGAGGTGGTATCTCAATGTTGTTTTGACTTGCATTTCTTTTATGGCTAGGGAGGTTGAGCATTTCTTCATGTGTCTATTGACCATCCTTTTTTCCTCTTCAGAGAAGTTTCTCTGTTAAGTCTTTTAGCCCACTTATTTATTGGGCAGTTGTTTCTTTGTGGATTTGTTGTTGGGGGATTATTTTCTTAATTCTTTACCTAGTAGAAGAAGTCATTTTTTACATTTTGGACATTTCCTTTCAGTTTCCATATGCATATACTTTCTTTATATATTCTTTACAAAAATGATACATACATTTTAGACTTCTTTCCATGTAGCATTGCAAGTCTCCAGAATTCTCTTATGTGATATTGCTACTGTGAATAGCAAGTATTTACTAATTTCCTAGCCATTGTAAAATGTTTTTGTCCATGAATTCTCACCACAGCCTTAGGAGGTAGGAACTCTTGGAGATAAAGAAGCTGAAGCGTAGAGAGGTCAAGTAATTCCCTTATGGTGGCACAGTTAGCAAACACCAGGGGCAGTGTTAAAACTTAGGCATCCTGGCTCCAGCCCTTACTCCTAATCAGTTATTAACCCCACTTTACCAATGAGTGTGGCGGTCCCTCCTGCGTCTATGCAGCTATGTCTCATGGTTGTACTTTTATAGTTCCCTTGCTCCTTTTTGCTACTAAAGCATGGTAGGCTAGATGAACCTAAGTCTGGCAATTCCCATGTGTTCCAAATCACACATACACTTCTGTCTTTATGGAAATTCAATTTGGGAGAGGGGTAGAGACAGACTTACAAAATTAACAGTATTTCATATTCGAGGAGCAGCTGAGAGGTGTAAAGAAATAAGGCAGAGAACCAGATGTTGGTGCTGTAGAGAATAATAATAATTATTCTCTACAGGAGGGGAGCCTTGTGGGCATTGGGCAGATGACGTGTCACTGGTAAAAACACTGGTTCATAAGCTTAGTGTGGACACTTGGCTGGGTCTTTTTAGAACACGTAGAAGGCTATGTGTCTGGAATAGAATGAGTATGGAAAGAATAGTAGGAGTTAGGAGTACCAGGACAATTGAAGAGCCTTACAGGCTTTTCAGGTCTTGATTCTCAATCCTAGTAAGATGGTGATGGTCTGTGTGAAGACCTGAATGAGTGGATGATCCTTTACCCAGTGTGGAATCTCACCAGGCACATTTTCTGGTTTCTATTGCTACAGCTTTCTACTCTTATCCCAACCCCACTGTCTTTGGTTCCATCATTTCTCCTTCCCTATCCCTTTGCTTTTATAGCTGTTTTTTTTTTTAATCTGTGCATCTCATTGAAATACCTTTCTATAATGAGCCAAGTTTTCTTAACCTCTTCATGAAGTTTGTTTCTATCCTTATTGTCACTTTTTGCTCTTTAATGTAAAGCCACAAGAAATCTTTCTCCAAAGTATGTCACAGACCCTTGCTACACAAGGCAGATGGCAACCCATAGTTTGTAGTGGAGGATAGAGCAGGAGTCTGGTCTCAGCAGCCGTGCCTACCTGCTGATCCCCCACCGGGTCCTTCAGGGGCCTCAGTGGGAGTGATGGCCATGGAAGCAGGCCATCTGGATGCTCATCTACTTCCGTCACTCACTCTTGCTCAGTCACCACATTTTTTTGAATTTCACTTTTCTTATTGAAATAAAGGGGTAGTGTTGGTGTACCATCAGTAATGTAATGCTGTAAATTTTAAGATTTCTGTACGAATTATTTCTTGCATTTGATTCTCAGAAAAGGGCATGATTTTTTCATGTCTACATTACTCAAGTTAGTACTCTAGACAAGAGTGTCACTTTTTAATTTAGAAAAATGTTTCAAGAAAATATAAGCTATTATATCAAATTAACTTTATGTCCAGTTTTTATTTCAATTAACATTTCAGGTCTACCTGAAAAAGAAGACACTCATAATATTTTAAATGTTCTTAAGGTATTATCTTATAAGCATTCATGTTCTGAAGGACAAAAGGGTTTTTAAACTGTCTGATAGGTATATTTCAGAAGAAAAACCGGAATAAAGCTTACTAATGTAAAAGAACAGAATTTAAAAAGAGAATGTTTAGAACAAGAGTATTCAAAGAGTTTATATTAAAACTTTCACTGCTCTTTTTGGTTACACAAAATGATGTCATTAATATTCCTGACGAGGCTATGATTTTTGGTTTAGATCTGTAGATATGGTCTGCCATACCATTTTAAAGCCAAATTCAGTAGCAGCTCAGAATAATGCCCAATAAATAATTAAATCTAGCATCTAGTTTGAACCTTTCTTCTTAATTTTCTGTGTTCTTCTGACCTCCTGAAAGTCATCCGTGAATTGCAAGCTCTTCTAGAGTTTAGTGTTCTCCTCTGCTTTCTCCTTCCTGTCTTATCCTGTGTATCTGTTCCATCCTAGTCCTTTCTGCTGGTAAAAATCCTCCCAGATTTCTTCATGAAGCTTTCTTTAGCCCTTTTCTGTCTGTGCTTGTCCTTTGCCTTCCTGGTATGTTACCTGTGTATCTCTCTGTCACTGAAATCATCTTACTTAATGTTGTTTATGGTCTTTATGATGTTTCCATTATAAGACATATAAGTTTGCTGAGTGCAAGGCACTGGTTTTCCTCATTTCTGTGTCATTAAGCACTCACTATAACGTCTGAGACATGCTTCCTAATTAAGTAATTGAATGACTTCACTTTATAGGAAACAGGCTTTTTATTTGGATTTAGTTATTAGTGATCTCAGAGTCTGTCTTGGATGTTTGCCAGTGACTCTAGCTAGGTGTTATATAGCTATGCTTTTACGTCCAACAATGGATGTTAACTTCCTTGTAGAGGTTGTTAATGAAAATGGAAAGATGCTTTCATTTGATAAAAGCTTTTCACATTTGCTACAAAAGAAATATTTGTGATGTGCTTAGTATTGATAAAATGGTAAAACTATGTGGCTGAGCCAGGCAGTAATTCTCTTAGATGTATTATGCAGTTGATCAAACTAAGATTTCTTTTTAAAAAGGAAATTTCATTTACAAGTGTTTTCAGGATTCTAATTAGGAGAATTATATGAAAGTACTCTAGGAAGTCACTGAAATGGAAGATTTACAGGTGCTCTTAAAGAAGTGATTTATATTCTGTCTATTCATTACTTTCATCCTTCTCTTTGTATTTTCTAGAAGAAATGAGGTGATTTCTGATCGCAGAAAGCAGGTCCAACTAATCTCACATTTTTGTTGGCTTCTAGTTCTTTAGAAAAGGTTGCAAAAGACAAGAAAGTGTCCCAGGTATAGAGACTTCTCATTTGGTGGGACTAGAGTCCAAAGTGAAAGTCAGAAACTGGACGGCAGATAACCTCAGCTTTCTCGGTGGGTTTTAGAGGCTTAGAGATTGGTAGGGACCTAGGTGCATAGGATGCAGCCTGTCAAAGTGTTGAGAACTTAAAAATTTAATTTTAAGGTAGGTAAAGTATGTGAACTTGTAGGAAAAGATAAAAGTTCTACATTTAGCTACTGTCTTCCAGCAGAGTCTTCCAGTACATGTGTGCCTGTGAACAAGTAAATAATCTTCCTATAGTGTATGTCCCAATCCCTCTTCAATAAAGAAATACTTGATAAAATAGCCAGATGTGATACCTTTGAACCAATATTTCTACTTTTTCTGTTTGTCTGTGATAGCTTTCCATTACTCTGACAAAATACTTGAGAAAATCAGCATCTAGAAAAGATTGTGTTGGTACATAGTTTCAGAGGTTGCACCATATATTGTTTATTGTTGGCAGCAAAGCTGTTGGTGGAATAAAGCTGCTCACTTCATGTGGCCAGGAAGAGGAGTAGAGTGAGGAGACAGACAAACAGATATAGGGAGAAAGGGAGTAGGTAAAAGGTGGGAAGAAAGAAAAGAAGAAGGGGCCAGGAACAAGAACACACTACTTTTAACTAGGGTTTTGTCTCCTAAATTTCCATCATCTCAGAGGAGTCCAAGAGATTATGAAGCCATCAGTGAAGTCAGAACCCTCATGATCCAATAATTTCCCAGAGCCCTGTGAACATGTTTCCATTTGGGACCAAGCCTTCATTCAATGCTGGAGCCTTCAGATATTATGAGAGATCCAAGCCATAACATTTGATGTGAAAATACTTATACAACTGACCATATATTTTCATGTAGGTTTTCATATTTGAGAAATACTTTCTCAAAAATTCACCTGTGTATAACTGAATAAAATATGCATATATATATGTGTGCACACAATATATATATAATATACAACTCTGTTTATATATTTATTCTTGAATATGTGAGGGATGGTTTGGTGTCTTTAGTAAACACAAGTGACCAATAACTGTAGGTTGCCTAGGGGGGCAAAGATTCAGGAATTCTAAGGACATGGGATATTATACCTTTGGTGTATCTATTTCTCTTGGTTAAGCTTTTTTTTTTTTTTTGAAGCATACCTTTTGTTTTATATATTGGCCAAAGACTAGGAAAGTATGCACATTTCTTTGAATTTTAAAATAAGTGACTTGTTTGAAGGGTAAGCCTGTTTCTCTGGAAAATGTAGTTTTCAAGAATGATTCATATCCTTGCCATTTCTGAGTGGTTGTTTTATACTGACATAATAATGGAAGACAATCTTAGGTGTGTTGTCAACATGGCCTTTGGTGATATAAGTTAATATATAGTGTGGAAGTCTTAGGCTATCTTAATGAGTTGTAAGAGGAGCTGTCCTCATCTGCTGGCTGGGTTTATTACTATTTTGAGGGCTTATATGCACCAGTAGCTTCCAAGAATATTCTTGTGAGTGAAAGAATTGACTGTTTTCTATTTCCTTTTTTCAGGAAAGCTCAAGAGGAGAACAAGAAAGTAGTGCTTGCTGGCTGTGTTCCTCAAGCCCAGCCTCGCCAGGACTACCTCAAAGGACTGAGTATCATTGGGGTAAGCTTTCACTTGGTGGACTAAAAGATAAACCTTACGTGATTAATCAGATTAATCCTATTTCTAGGTTATTTGTAGCTGTCCTAATATTCTTTATTGCTCTTGAGACTGTCAAGTCATTTTAACCTTTTCATTTTACTACAAAAATACAATGTAGGTTTTCTCATTAAGAGAGATGTTAGTGGCTGGCTGAGATGACTCCCATCTGTAATCTCATCTTCTTGGAAGGCAGAGATCTGAAGGGTTGCAGTGCAGGGCTAGGTTGGGAAGAAAATGAGTAAGACCTCGTTAATGGTCAAGATTTTTTTTTTGAAGAATAAAAAAAGTATTTATTTTCATTCTAACAATCGATAAACAAGATATTTACCTCAGTGTAAGGGAGCAGAAAAGAAACAACTTACAGAAAGTGATAAGACTTGTTCAGATTTCTGCAGAAAAACAATATAGTCATTACTGAAAAGTAATGATGATTGTATGATCATCGCTTGCAGGTTAGTTGTGTTTCAAGAACATTAGACAGAGGTTCAATAATGGTCAAGATTTTTTATGGCTCTTTTCAGTCATGTGGGAACTATAGGAGAGAGGATCATTGTCTAAGGCCAGCTCTAGCAGAAAACACAAGACTTTACCCAAAAAATAACTAAAGCAGAAAAGTTCTGAGGTGTGACTCACGTGGTAAAGCACCTACTCAAGGTCCTGAATCAGAACCCTAGGACTTCCCAGCCCACCCCTTACTCTAAGGAAAAGGCAGGAGGGGGGGGGGGAGAGAATGCAGAAGATAGGGAGAGGCTCACATAATCATAATAATCATGATAATCTGGTCTTTGTTGCCATCTCTCTCTCTTCATCAACTCAATTCTTTCCACTGAACTGCATACTTATCACTCCCTCTCATATAGGTATGTTGTTGGAATGTCTTACCTTTACATACTCAATTCCCCCCACCCACTACCACCACACACATCAGATTCCACTGCAAAACAGCACAGTCTGCCGTTCCTAGTCTGCATGCAGTCCTTGGTGATCCAGCCTTCTGCTTCCCTGTCCTCTGCTGTATTAACTTAGCACAGTTACCATTTCATATTTAGAGTTGTGATTTTTGATTTACTTATACTGTTGCTTCAATAAAGTCCACATTATTATTTAAATGTTTATCCTCAGGAGGATAGCTTTTCAGTCCTTGTCAAAGTGCCCATATTTTCATAGACATCCATTGGATACTTATTGACTAACTGCCCGAAAGCATCTTCCCATTGTCTTTTGTTCCTGGCATGGGATTTTCCCTGTTAGAAGGTTGGCTCTGAGAAGTCTGGAGCCCAGTCCCTGCTCTCTGTCATTCTGTTTGTAGCCTGATTCATAAAATGCCATGGAGTAATTGGCATTCAGTCAGCGCTTGTTTACCAAGTGAGTTACTGCTTCTCTGTGCCATGTGCCTGGAAAGCTCACCATTCATCTTTAAATCAAGCTGTTATGAACTTTTAAAACATATTTTAAAATATTGTATGTTCATCTAAAAGGTTAGATGAATGATGGGCAATTGAATTGGGTTTTATAATGCATTTCTTTTTGCTTGCTTGGTATACCATCAACAAGTCCTTGTATTATGTTCTCAGTGTAATGAACTTGTTTCCTGTGAAGTCCTCACCCCACCAGCAAATTTAATAATCTCTGAACAAACATTCTCACTTTAAACAAACAGAACCAGAATGTTTGGTAACATTAGCTGTTTTCACTATTTGTCTGTTTACATTTTGATTTCTCCTGGTTTAGGGAATGAAATGAATAGAAGACTCCTGAGTTATCTTTTCATGTCAAACTAACCCCCTCTCTAAACACAACCCTGCTGTGCTAGGGAAATGGGAAACTAGCTAGAACTATTTGTGAGATGGAATGTGGTCTGTACTTGGAGTGAATCTTAGATTTCATCCCAAGGAATTAATGTTACTGGAATAGCAGGTTTTCTGTGGTCTCACCAGTCTCTTTTTTATGTACACATTATGGTAACAATTCTGAGATTCAGTATGTACAGAGAAGAGCATGGAATATGTTAAGGGAAAATGGAGATTCTTAAGACACTGTTTTGAGGCCCTGGAGTTGTAGCTCAGCTGCGGAGTGCTTGCTAAGCATGTTTGAAACTCCAGTTTGATCCCCAGTGCTGCCAAAAAGAAAAAGAAAAAACAAAAAACAAAGAGGATGTAAATATGGAGGACAATTTTCAGGGCTGAGACAAAGCTGTAGCATCAACTAACATTTTTTTTCCTGTTGAACAGACTGTTTGCTCCATCACACAATTCCCCCTTAATACCATTAGCATTCCTTGTACTTACTTTATCTGACTTATTTATAATTAGAGAAATATTACTCAAGAACACTTGTCTTGATAAGTGAATAAAAAGAAAAATCCTCTCTGTATCACAGCAACACAATTATTATAACTTCTAAAAATTTACTCAGACTTTTAATCATTGAGTCTTTTAATATTATGATCTTAAGATTATTTTGGATGTTTATTTTCCATTATTGTGAGATTTTTGTCCCTCTGAGCTTTTTAAGTATTTTAAGTTACGTATTAAGGTTCTGTTGAAGATAGTTTATAATTTACTTCTTAAGTATTCATGTAAATACTTTCTACCTTTCAGGAAATATACAGAATACCTTCATTTTCTTTTTTTTTTATTGTGAAAATACTGTACAGAGGGATTACAATTACATGGGCAAGATAATGAGTACATTTCTTATCAAGCATTCCAGCCTCCTCCTTTGTTTCCGCTTCCCATCCCTTCGCATCCTCCATCTGTCCCCCCCCCCCAATCCTCCTCTCTTCCCCACCAAAGTTGTAAAGTTCATTTTCGACATAACGATTTGCACTTCTCATTATTGCAATGGGTCCACCTGTATCCCTATTTAAACGATTTGTTTTTTCCCTTCCCCTCCACAAATTATACCAACATCAAATACAGTGAAAATAGGGGTTATACCGTGGGGGAGGGACATATAAAGCAACAAAGAAATAATCTTATAAATGTGTTAGAAACATTGCATGAAAGAAAAAAAAACATTTAAATACATATCTTAGGGTTCATTTCCCTAACATCAACTTCTCTGACCTTTTCTGCTTGACTCAGACATATAATAGTTATTGCAAATAAGGGAAACCATGGGATCTATGTTTCTTTGGGCCTGGCTTACAGAATACCTTCATTTTCACAGTGGGCTTTTTATTTTAACTTAAAATTAGTAAAAATAAAGTAGCATAATGTAAAAACTTCCTAGAATTACATTGCCATTAACATTTCAGTGTAGTGATTTAATTACATATTCACCAGTGTAAACTATTGTAAAGTTATTATTCTTTGTCAAACATCATTTTCTAAGTGCATATGGCTCATACCTATAAATCTAGCTACTCATGAGGCTAAGGTCTGAAGCTCAAAGTTCAAAGGCAACTGGGCTGGAAAAGTTCTAGAAATTTTATTTCCAATTAACAAGCAAAATGCTAGACTGGAGAAATTTGTCAAACAGTAGAGCACCAGCCATGAGAAAGTAAGCTAATCTCCCTCTTCCTCTCCCTCTCCCTCTTCCTCTTCCTCTCCCTCTCCCTCTCTCTCCCTCTCCCTCCCCTTCCCCCTCTCCCTCTCTCTCCCTCTCCCTCCCCTTCCCCCTCTCCCTCTCCCTCTCTCTCCCTCTCCCTCCCCTTCCCCCTCTCCCTCTCTCTCCCTCTCCCTCCCCTTCCCCCTCTCCCTCTCTCTCCCTTTCTTTCCCTCTCTCTCCCTCTCTCTCCTCTCTCTCTCTCTCTCTCTCTCTCTCTCTCTCTCCCCACTCCCCTCCCCCCCTCAGGTTATGGGGCTTGAACCAGGGCCTGGATATTGTTCCTGAGCTATTTTGCTCCAGGCTAGCACTCTACTACTTGGAGACATATCTCCTCTGGTTTTTGAGTGGTTAATTGTAGACTAGAGTCTCACGGGGACTTTTTGGCTCCTTCTGACTTCAAACTACAATTCTCAGATCTCAACCTCCTGAGTAGTTAGGATTACAGCCATGAGCCACCCGGTGGTGCCTGGCAAGCAAGCCAATTTTTAAAGTGTGAAACTCTCAGTTCAAAGTCTGGCACAAAACAAAGATGATCTACCCGTAAGTAAATATTTTCAAAAGACAATTTTTGTAAGGAAATCAGAATCATCTACAATTGGTATTTATACAGACCTTTTGTTTTTTAGAATTGTTACAATTGGAACCAAGTCAGAAACCTTCTCAAATATAGTAAATTGAAGTAAAGAAACAAATGGATTTTATAATATGAAAAGTTTGTTCTTAAAGGTAAAAAAAAATAGGTGTTTACTTCCAGCACCATGGGAAAATACTTCTACTAGGATGTTTGGAATTGTAAATTTTATCTGCGGACTGAGTGAAGAATGTTACTTCTTAACAACAATTCTGCAATGAAGGGTGATAATAGAGATGTAAAGTAAAACAGCCATGATTATACTGTTGTTTTCTAGACTCTTGCCAGTCACAACATAGGGAGGCTGTGTCAATTCTGTTAACCAAATGATTGCAATAAAGAGCTGATGTTTAAGGGGGGATCAGTTGGTGAGCAGGATATTTATTGAATCCCTTAGTTAAAAGATACCATACCTGCCTATGTTTGGAAGTGCCCATGAAATAAACATTTAAGATATTAATAAGCTGGGTGTGGTGATGTATTTCTATAATCCTAGTACACAGGAGCCTGAGGCAGAGGATTGAAAGTCCAAAGCAAGCCTTGGATACATAGAAAACAAACAAACACAGACAAGAGGCTGATTAATTAGTCCATTTTCTATTTGTAGCTAGATATAGTGTTCAACTCACAGAGGTGGAGGCTCAGGAGTCCTTGTCATGGCCCTAGCATCTGCTTGGCAGAGCAGGGGGCCTCCTGAGATATATCATAACTTGGTGAGGGTTTCATGTGTTAAGACAGAGCACATGTTCCAGCTAAGATCTCTCTTTTTCCTCTTAAA